GTTTTTACAGGCATAAAGGAACAAAAAAAGGTCACAAATATATTTCAGAACATTTATTAGTTTCCTGCCCTGCTTCATAATAGCACATTTTTATGCCCGTGGAATTACCCTTTAAGACAACTCATGTTTCAAATCTGATTGCACTTTAAGGGATTTAGAAGCTAAAATAAAAAAAATTGATGTAAAGCATATAAAAAGTGACTGCTCCTTCCCGTTAAATATCTAAGCTTGTCTTGAATCTGAAATGTCATTTGTATCTGGAAAAAACTTCAGCAGAAGATTAAAGATTAGTGACAGATTTAAAAATAAAAGATTCAAGTACGTATACGCTGAAGATATAATGGAGATTGCCATCTTGTTTATCACCTTCTCCATGCGTGCCGCTGTCAATTAATGCAAAAAATCTCTGACATACTGTACTTTTTTTTCATGATTACAAGCTGCACATGGTAATTTAAAAGATTGCAGACTTTGGACATTTGCTGAAATGTGCTATACCCCCTCTATAGTTATTTTGAGTGGGCACAAGATGAAGATGGTTTGAAACCCTATTTTTAGTCAGCTGTATAGTTAATAGCCATTAAGCATGTTTTTTTCCAGTTCTAAAAAACTGTGTCGCTGTATTTTTAAGCTCTATACGGAGAAAGGATGCAGAGATTTTCAGTGCTTTTTTTATTTTTTATTCTTTACATTATCATGATGTGAGTACACAAGATTTGCATAATTGTTACTGCGTCCTTTTCTATTCTTCAATTTAATACAACGTGATTTGTCTTGTCATGTCTTCTGTATATTAGCATTGTGTTGCATGTATAGTGCAAGTGTATTTTTTTGCTGTTAACAAGGTGCCATAACTTGCACATGATTCGTTTTGAAAGTCTGCCATAGTGTTGTTGTTAAAATGGAAACTCAAATGTTAACTTAAAGCAGAACTCCAGGCAAATCAAATCTACCCCCACGCTGCAAGGGTTAAGTGCCAAACCACTATCCCAGTTGGCGCTTACACCGCTTCCTTCAGCCTATCTTCTCGCTGCAGGGCTGGTATGTTGTTCAGCATCCTCATGTTCTATACACTGTATAGAACATGATGAATCACCGGACCTTAGACCGCTGGAGCGAGGCTGAGGGGAGCTGCCTAAGAGAAAGCTGGAATCGTGGGTCGGGCGAGTACAACTGTTATTTTAGCTCCCTAGGCAAAACAGGCACTTAACCCTTGCAGTGCAGGGGGGTAGCCCCACTGCAATGGTTAAGATTTATTTTGCCTGGAGTTCAGCTTTAAACTAAACATGCCAGTAGAAAAGAATGGAGGCTGCCATTACTGCATTCTCATTCTAAAGATGCCAATTGCCTGGTTGATATGATGACCCTCTGATTTCAATACTTTCAGGGTTATGTACTAAAGGGTGAAGAGATTGGAGAAGGGAGGAGAAGTGAACAATCTAGGACAACATAGCTGAACTGGAAAGTGAGCTGAATTGGAGAATATTTTCCAAATCAGTTATTTTGGCCTAGATTGTTCACTTCTCCTGCCTTCTCCAAACTCTTCACCCCTTTGTGAATAACCCTGTTTGCGTCTTTAAGTCAATGGGGTTTTTATTAAACACAAATAAGCTCTTTACTTTGCAAGGACATTTTCCCTCAGCTTAGCGAATGGGGTGAAAATTCACTTTGCATAGAATACCCAATCACGGCAAGGAGAAAAAAAACAAAACAAAAAAACAGTATTTATTCTTGCATGTGATTGGATAACGGAAGACAGCAGAGATTCACCTCATGCACTTAACTAAGGGAAAATTCCCTAGCAAAGTGTAAAGTCCCTTGCAAAGTGAGCAGCCTATTTGCCATTAGTAAATCAACCCCAATGAGCTAGAACAAGTATTCACATAAGGGTTTCTGGTGTTTCTCTGAATTTCCTAATCTACTTTTTTGTAGACCTAAAGTATATGTAAACTCAATCACTAAACTCTTTTAATGAGCTTTAAAATGGGACCAATGTCTGCTGCACTTAGCTTTCCTCCAGGGATTATCCACAAGCTCCCATCTCACCTTTGACCTTCTCACCCAGTGTTTTTGTGAGTTTGGTGTCTTTAGCTATCTTCTATCCATCTTCTATCCTATTATTTCATTTGTATATTGCCATTAGGTGACCTATCACTTTTTATTGTACAGTTCCTGATGATTACTTACTGGTGTTGTTAATAGTATTTGAACTTCATTATAGACACTAGACAAGTGACTCGAGCTGTTATGTAGAAGTGCAGAGAGCTTTTCCTGTAGTATATGTGCTTCAACAGTGCATATCAATGCAACAAAATATATGGAAATGAGTTAATAACTGCTTTTGTACACTATTCACAGCTGATATTATATTGCCATCTACTGTCAAACTATGTCAAAACGTAATGTTTCTGGAACTATCGTTTTAAGGGTGAACTACTGCAAAAGAGTATGCATAGAAGGGGAGTAGGATAGAGCAATTATAAGTCCCAGGGGCATCACACTAGCTGAGAGGATGGTATTGTATCTGACTATCTGATGGTTTTGGTTTCCTCACTCAAAAACATACTGCTAGGATAAAGCCAGACTCCAGCCAAAGCTTTAAGGAAGAGTTAGAACATCTCTCCGATTTTAAATGCTTCAGTATGTAGAAAGAGAGGTGCTAAGTGGCCTTGCCTGTGATATCCCACATTGCAGACAGATTGTGGTCACATACGCTGAAACTCCAATCCTGTGTTGCTCAGTACTGTTACTAGTTAACAGAGCCCTTGAGCTTTAAGTAAGGGGGCATGACCCCCGAAAACACATTCAGCCTTGTTACACTGCGGTTCTGAGCAGTCAGGCATATGTCAGCTGGACATTCATCTTTGCGGTTACCATCTACTATCACGATTGCCATCTGTGTTTATGGATGCATGTCGGTTTTAAGTGTTATGTTTCTATTTTAATTGTAACTCAATAAGCATTATATATATATA